CATGTGGGATCTTCCCGGACCGGGGCATGAACCCGTGTCCCCTGCATCGGCAGGCGGGCTCTCAACCACTGCGCCACCAGGGAAGCCCAAGGGAGCATGGAGTTTTAACCACTGCGCCACCAGGGAAGTCCCTATAGAAACTTCTTGATTACTAAAATTCAGAATAATTCTTTGCCTAGTCTCCGTCCCTCTCCCCCTTCCCCCATTGGTTATGTTTCTTTTCCTAAGGCACATCCACATGAACTGTGTCATCCATTCCACAAATATTCATTGAACACCTACTGTGTGCTGCTTGCTGTTCTGAGTTTTGGGAACACAGACGACAGCCTCTGATATGATGGAGCTCTCAATCTAGTGGGAGAAGATGGTCCATAAAACGACAAACACAAGGAACAAGCATGTTCTTTTTTTTTTTTAATTTATTTATTTTTGGCTGCGTTGGGTCTTCGTTGCTGTGCGCGGGCTTTCTCTAGTTGCGGTGAGCGGGGTCTACGCTTCATTGCGGTGTGTGGCCTTCTCATTGCGGTGGCTTCTCTTGTTGCAGAGCACAGGCTCTAGGCGCGTGGGCTTCAATAGTTGTGGCTCGCGGGCTCTAGAGCGCAGGCTCAGTAGTTGTGGCACACGGGCTTAGCTGCTCCGCGGCATGTGGGATTTTCCCGGACCAGGGCTCGAACCTGTGTCCCCTGCATTGGCAGGCGGATTCTTAACCACTCCACCACCAGGGAAGCCCTCTATTGTTTATTGTAGGTGATAAACTAAAGACCAGGGTTGCGGGGCTGGAGGAAGTGTTGCAGTACTCAGTGAGGCCCTCTGGGTAGGCCAAGGTGACGTTTGAGCAGTGAAGGAAGACCCGAAGCAGGCTGAGTTGGGCAGGTGTGTGGGGGAGGAGCAGGCCAGGCTGAGGGAGCAGCCTTAGGAGTTTGAGGAAGAGCCAGGAGGCCGAGCGGCACAACTGTGAGAGAGCAGGGCAGCAGGAGGGCTTTGGGCCCCAGGCCGCTGCGAGGAGTATGCTGTCTACCTGGAGTGAGACGAAGCCACTGAAGGGTTTGGGGCACAGCATGAGGTGACGTTATAACTTCTCCTGTAAGAGGGTCCCCCTTGCTGTGGTGTTGAGAGTAGACTCGGGTCCAGGATGAAGACTTGGGGTCTCACCCTCTGGGTGAGAGGAGGTGCACGTGGCTTAGCACGCGGCAGTAGCAGTGGAGGCTCCCAAGGTTGGATTCTGGGTGTCCGTTGCAGGCAGAGCTGATGGGATCCGCTGAGTGGGTTGGATGTAGAAGGGTAGAGAAACAGAGGAATCAGGGACTTCCCTGGCGGTCCAGCGGTTAGGACTCCACGCTTCCACTGCAGGGGGCCCGGGTTTGAACCCTGGTTGGGGAACTAAGATTCCGCATGCCGCACAGCGTGGCCAGAGAAGAAAAGAAATAAAGGTGGCAAAGTTTATTCCCCCAGGGCCTCATCCACTGGATGGATGGAGATTGGGGAGGTCTGGAGGAAGGGCAGGAGCTAGGTTTTGGCCGACTTAAGTTCAGGATGTTAGACATCCACGTGAAGCTAGCTGTCAGCGAGCAGCTGGCTGGATATGTGAGTCTAGAGAGCTCAGGAGAGGGCTGGGTTGCTCATACTTATTTGAGATGCCTTGACTTATAATTTGTATTTAAAGTCCAGAGGCAAGGGACCAGGTGCAAGGACTGAGCCCTGGGACCCTCTCTTCTCAAGGAGAAGTAGCAGCCCTGAGGTCAGAGGAACACCAGGAGAGCCGTGTCCTGGAAGCCAAGGAGAAGGGAGGATTTCCAGGGGGAGGGAGAGAGTTGGCCCCTTGTCAGAGACTGTGGCCTGGGCAGGTCATCTGAGACTGAGACCCCACCGTTGGAGGTCATTGGTGACCTTGGCAAGAGAGGTTCTCTGACCAGGAGGGGAGATGGTTCTGCTACGACCCAAGAATGGCCCCTCTGGGCAGATAAATTAGAAGGCGGCAGATATGGCCCAGGGTCCTGTGCCCGGGCCAGCAGAGGATGACTGACTGGCCCCCAGCCCAGCACCTTTGCATGGGACCCAACTGGCCAGCCACAGTCAGTGCAGTGTTCCAAGCGCTTAGCCTGCAGAGCAGGGCTGGCCGTGGGCCATGCCCCAGGTTGCCTTACCTACAGGGTACCTGTCTGCAAGGTGCTGCCACTAGAGGGCGCCCACACCCACCAGTGGATTCCACAAACCAAGGTGCCCCAGAGAGGAGCAGGGAGGGGGCTGAGAGGGGCTCAAGGAATCTGCTCGTTTCCTCCACAGGAGGGGCATTTCGGTCCTTCAGAGAAGCCACCCACCTTTCCCTGTGAGGCCCAGTGTGACCCGTGACTGTTTTGTGGGTCAGGACTTGTTCTGAGTCTGTGGGTTAATCAGAGGGTTCAGTGGGGACGGGGACGTTTTCTCAGATTACTGGAGCTGTGTCTTCTCTGCAGGCGCCCTGACTTCTGGGCTGTGAGCAAAGACCTGCGGACTGAGCCACGCCCACCCTGTTCTCCGGGGCTCCGTCCGCGGCAGGTTAGGCGTGGAGGGTCCTTGCTCGCCCCCTCTCACCAGTTTCCCTTCGTTCGCTTTAATTTTGTTTTTCCCCCTTCATTTTTTCTCAATTAAAAAAAAAAAACCTGTAGAAGTAAAACATGCCTAGCAAGTAGAACGATATAGAAGGGTATAAAGTAAGGGATAACACGGCTCCTCCCTCAAACTCCAAATATCCCCGAAGGTGGCCATGGTTATCTCCTCCAGACACTAACAGGGTAGTTTACACCTCACCGGCCCTCGCAGGCAGATGGCAGCACGCACTCTGTCCCGTTATAGCCTCTCCAGGGCTTCCTTCCACAACGTGGTTCATCTGGCTGTGCCGCGTTCTCCCCAGAACAGCAGTGGCTCCTGTTAAGGACTGCTGCTCCATTGCTCTCGAGGTTTGAGGTTGTTAAAAAGAATGTTCTGATGAACCCCTTTGCTTGTTCTGTCTTTCTACGTTTTGAAAATTACATCCGTAGAGTAAGTTCCGACCCGTGGAATTTCCAAGTCCAAGCTTAGGGACCCTGAATTCTGAGACATGCCGCCAACTGGGCCTCCTGAAATGTGTGCCTGTTTACCTGCCCACCCACCAGAGTGCCTGTGGGGGCCTGCGTGTCTCCCCAGCACTGGGCGCTCCCAGCTTATTAGGGTGTGCTGTCTGGAAGCAGCAAAAGCTCCCTTGCTCTAATTCTGGTTCCTGCCTGATGCCACAACTTAACTGGCTGCCCCAGGCCCCTCAGAGCATCCTTTCTGTCTCCAGAGAGCGCTCCTGCATGGGCAGCACTGACAGGTGAAGAGGCCGGGGGGCCGGACACTGGGGTTCTGGCCCTGACTGCCTGCTGCCTGCTGAGGACCTTGGCCGAGCTCTGGGTCTTGCCGGCTCAGCTCTGAAGACACTGGAAAGTTTTAATCGAGCCCATGGTTCTTCCTGGCAAAGCGCTGAAAGGTTTTTGACCACGACTGGAAATAAGGATACCACAGTGACCGGCACCTTGTGCAAAAGTTTCACACACAAAAAAACCAACCACACAGGGCTTCCCTAGTGGCGCAGTGGTTAAGAACCCGCCTGCCAATGCAGGGGACACGGGTTCGAGCCCTTGTCCAGGAAGATCCCACATGCCGTGGAGCAACTAAGCCCGTGCGCCACAACTACTGAGCCTGCGTGCCACAACTACTGAAGCCTGCGCACCTAGAGCCCGTGCTCCACAACAAGAGAAGCCACCGCAATGCGAAGCCCACGCACTGCAACGAAGAGTAGCCCCCACTCACCACAACTAGAGAAAGCCCACGCACAGCAACAAAGACCCAACGCAACCAAAATAAATAAAAAATAAATAAATAAATTAAAACAAAACAAAACAAAAAAAACCAACCACACAAACAAAAAAAGTACTTCCCCCCATGTGGTGTACTCTGCGATTTTTCACTTTATTTTTAAGAATGCTGGTCCCAGAACTGGCATGTCTCTGTTCTCCCTCAGAGGCCCCTAGGAGTTACGGAGATGCATCCTGGGGCTGGGATTCCCTGAGGCCTTAGAGACCTGGAGAACATCCTCTGCGCACCGTGCGCTAGAGTCAGTGCTGAGACTGGGGCATGCAGGGGAAGCTGACTGGACCTTCACAGCTCTCCGGGCCTTCTCCCCTTAGGCTGCTCTAGACCCGTGTCCCCGTGTGTGGGTCACACAGTCCCGTTCAACCCAGAGTGGGGGCCGGGCCCTTTTTGGCTGTCACCCTGTCACTGTCACGCGCTGGGGCGAGGGGCACGAGAGCAGTGTGGGACCCCAAAGGAGGGCCTGGGAAGCCCTGCCGCCCCACAGAGCTTCTGTGGAGGGTCCTTCCTCCCCATCCTCTGCCTCCTAACTTTCTTTCTTGCCTCCAAGGGTGGCCCTCCTCTAATTATAGTACCTGCCTGGCCTAATTATAGCCTGGGCTAATTTGTTAATGGCTTTGGGTACCGAGAGCCCTTGCCTTGGGCAGGATCACGGCCCCTGGGTACACGCAGGGAAGTTTTGCCAGGGAGCACTGGATGAAGGGACGTGAGTGGCCTTTGAGGCCCATGGGGGGGTGGCGTGGGCCCCCTGAGGAGCCCCATGTCCAGCTGGTGCACGCAGGGCTCTGACCAATGCTGCCTCTGTCCACGAGTTGTCAGGGTGGGTCTCTCCCCTTCCCAGGAGTCCCAGGAGCCCCTGGTGCGTGGCACCAGGCAGGGCCTTGCCATTTTCATTCTATTTAAACAAATGGTCCTTAATTAAATGCCTTTAAATTGAAAAATACTTTTGGTTTTCCTCTCCATGAAAGCAATGTCTGTTTGCAATAGAAGCTTCAGGAAATGCACAAAAGGGAAAAAAGGCCGTTCATGACCCCACCCCAGTGACTTATGACCCCAAATGTGTTAACTTTTGGTCGAGGAGTCTCATGACTGGTCCCTCTGCTCTTGTTTGACTCATTATATTGTCCCCGCAGGGAAGTCCCACCTGGCCATCGTGCAGAAGGTGAACAACGAGGGCGAAGGTGACCCCTTCTACGAGGTGCTGGGCCTGGTCACCCTGGAGGACGTCATCGAGGAGATCATCAAGTCCGAGATCCTGGACGAGTCTGATATGTACAGTGAGTCCCCTTCCCACCCTGCCCTGCTCTGCTCTGCTCAGACTGGCACCTGCTGTCCCCAGGTGGGAAGGCCGCCGTGGGGACGGGAGGCTGGGCGCCAACCAGGGCTGCTCGGAGCGTCCGCAGGAGCCGCCTTTCTTCCTCCCAGCATTTGTGTCTCAGCGCAGACACTGCTGCTTCTGCTTCTGGTGGAAGAAGGGCCCGTGGAGCTGGGAGTCGGCGGGTGGGTACCAGTCTGTTCCCCGGTCCTTGGGGGATGCTGTTCTCAGTTCCAGATTCCTTCTCTTGCAGCTGACAACCGAAGCCGGAAACGGGTGTCTGAGAAGAACAAGCGTGACTTCTCAGCCTTCAAGGATGCTGACAATGAACTCAAGGTGAAAATTTCTCCTCAGCTACTTCTGGCTGCTCATCGCTTCCTGTCCACGGGTAAGAGCATGAGGGGGGCCTTCGGGTGTCGGTGGGATACAGCCCCGGAGGGAGACGTACTGGGCCTCTGGTTACTCCTCCCCAGGGGACAAGGGCTACAGCAGATGAAGGGCCTGGGGCACATGCGCCTGCCTCTGGAAGGGGGCGAGGTGTTTTCCTTCCATCCCCACTGAAGATCCCTGCGGTTTGTTTTCCCCGTTAATGGGCTGCTGCTACAAACTTCCAGGAACCATCCGGCTTTGTTTTGGCTGTTTTGTGCTGGGAGGACCTGAGGTGTGCACCGGGCTCCCCGCTGAGGAGGGAGAAGGAGGCCCTTCCATATGCCCCCTCCCCCTGGGTACAGCCCACAGCCCTGCATGCTCATCCTCTCTGAGCGTCTGGATCCAGCTCCCTTCTCATCTCTCTGCCTCCCCTCCGCCTGCATCTGCTGGGCCCCTCGGGACCTGACTTCTAGGTCAATGACTTTTCTCTCTTCTCACCCCTGACTCAAAGCTCCCTTGGAGACCCGGGTGATTGATTAGGAAAACGCCCGCCTGCTCTGTCCTCTCCCCTCAGTCTGACTTCCTTCCCAGCCCTCACTTGCTAAAGCTGTGATCCTTCCCTCTCCTGTGCTTTTCCTGCCGGGCTATTGATGACATGGATACTGACAGTAGTGATAGTCACGTTTATTAGGCACTTCGCATGTGGCAAGCGTGTGTCTAAGTGTCCTACGTCTGTTATCCCATTTCACCAAACAGCAACCCCATGAAGTTTTAAATCCCTATTTTACAGATGAGGAAACTGAGGCACGGGTGAAGGAGTTTGCCTGAGGTCATGTTTTATTAGTGCAGGAGCCACTGTCCAGGCCCAACCAGTGACAGACCTGCATGTACTGAGGCCGGAGCCAAGGTCATGCCCTCCGGGGAGGCAGGGCCAGGCAGTGAGGAGCCGTCCAGCACAGCAGTGACCGTGTTCCAGGCACTGCCCCGCCCAGCCTGGCCTCACGTGAAATCCTCCTCTCTCCTCCTCCAGAGGTTCCCCAGTTCAGCCCCTCTCTGATATCGGAGAAGATCCTGCTGCGGCTGCTCAAGTACCCGGACGTCATTCAGGAGCTCAAGTTCGATGAGCACAACAAGTACTACGTCCGCCATTACCTGTACACCCGCAACAAGCCGGCTGACTACTTTATCCTCGTCCTGCAGGTGCGCCTGCCCCGCCCTGCCCTCCGTGCCCGAGCCGCCCTCTCACCTGCTTTCCTGCCCTTGAGCCTCTGCTCCCCATTGCCGGTCCTCCGCCTGCAAGGCCACCGTTGAGCCCCTGGGTCTCCAGGGCTCTGGAACTAGCTCCTCCACGGGGCCCACAGCCCTGTTCACTCCTCGCGTCTCCCTCGTGCCTCAGGCTTTTTCGTCCCAGGTGTTTTTTCCTTCTCAACTCTGTTTGTAACCCTGACCCGTGTTCTTTCAGGGGAAGGTGGAGGTGGAGGCCGGGAAGGAGAACATGAAGTTTGAGACGGGCGCCTTCTCCTACTACGGGACCATGGCCCTGTCCTCGTCCCCCTCTGGTGAGTCTCTGGGCCATGTCTGGGCCGCCCTCCAGCACTCCTGGAGGGGGAGAGACTCGGACTGGCCCCCCAGAACCTAGGGCCTCCTAGAAGGGTCATAACCCAGGTGGCTCGGGGGAGAGGAGGCCAGCGAGGGCCAGAGCTGCCAGGGCCTCGAGGAAGTGGCCTGGAAGAGCAGTGACTCGCCCCTTGGGACCGGGTTCAGAGAGTGGAGGGACGAGATGAGGGGATTCTGACAAAAGCCCGGAGGGAGCTGAGAGCGTGTTCTGAGGTGGTGAGACCAGCCCACCAGGAGGTGAGGAAGAGGGTGGATATGAGTCAGGGAGCCGCAGGAAGTTGATGGCATTTGCTTGCCATACGAAGCAGGAGGCCGTTAGCGGCCCTTGAGCAGGCGGTCCTGTGACAGCAGAGTGGGCCGACTGGGCAAGCGGGCCACAGTGGCCCTCCTTAGCCGTGACGGCGGGAGGCCAGTTGAGAGGGAGGCAGGTGGAGGGAGGCCGCAGGGCCTCACTTGGGAAGACTGGGCCAGGGGAGTCAGGGTGGGGGAAGGGGGCCCATGGCTCCCGTGTTTGGAGGCCAGGCCAGGGCCTGTTTTTCGGCCGCGCAGTTTGCAGATGGCTTTGGCTTTTCAGGGGGCTGAGCCACTGCCTTTCGGTTAAGGGGCCGTTCTGATGGAATAAAGGGACCTGGGGGCAAAGAAAGGACTGGACAGCCTCTGAGAAGGGCCACTGGCCACCCCGGCGCCCTCTGCTTCTCCAGTCCTGGGTGGCTCAGGCTCCCCTTGCTGGAGGGGGTGCCCTGCAGACAAGGCCCGAGTCTCGCCCGGCTCAGCTCCTCGCCAGTTGTGTGACCCCTCCGGCCCCAGGTTGCTGCGGGCTGGACAGTGAAAGTCCGCTTTGGTGCTGGGGACAGGCACATGGTGAGGGGGCTGCTGCAGCTCCTGGGGAGCCTCGATGCTGTGCCTGTTACTGTCCTTTGACAAAGAGGACCTCCATGTGGGGGGCTGGGCACCCGTGCATACTGACACAGCTCAGCTCCTCCACCAGCGTGAACAGGCTCCTGGGGGAGGGGAGTGGGAAACAAGGCTGCAGAGCTGGGTTTTGGAACAGGTGGCCCCTGCCCAGGTGCCTCAGGCCTGGGGAGGACTTCTCTGCCCCTCCTGAGAGCACCTCTTGCAGTCCAGCTTGGGGAAATCTTGTGCAGCAGGGCACACAGTCACGGGACGTCCCTCCAGGCACCCTTTCTCTGCAGCCATGCCTCAGAGCCTGGTTAGGGTCCTGGGCTCTGTCTTTTGATGTGGAGGCCCCAGGTTCCCACTTGCAGTGGCTGGAGGGAGGGGAGATAACTTCCGGGGGCTCTGGGCACACTCCACCAGCTTCTGCCCTTCTCTGATCAGGGCTCTGGTCAGCTCTGAGCACCCTCCCCGTCAGGGCCGGCTCCCCTTTACTGTTGTGCCCCCTCTCTGCTCGAGGGAACCTGGCCCCCAGCAAGTCTGCTTCTCCATCCTGTTCCTGTGGCTCCACGCCCACCCCACCCATCACTGACCTTTTCCTCTTTTGCTCCAGTGCCTTCCACCCTGGTCAGGTGTCCGCCTGGCAAGCGGAACTCCCTGCTCTCCCGGCTCTCAGGTAACATGGCATGGCTGGAGAATTTGCACTGCCACCTGCCGCCTGAGCCCTCACACTGCAGCTGCATTAACCGCTCCCAGCAGGCACTGGGGGCCCCGCCCCCCGCCCAGCACCTGTGCCATCCCACCTGTTCACACTTGTGGGCCAGCCTGACCAGTGCTAGCTGTGCTTGGCCTGGGGCCCAATTACTATGTGCCTTTGCCCAGGTCCTGGAAGGGTTTCCCCAGAGGTCCTTCAGTCTTTGAGAAGAGACACAAACGCCTGCAGGTGACAGGTTGGGAGTGGAGGGTGGCTCCCGGCCAGGCCAAGTGAGCCTAGCTGCTCGGGGCCACTCATAGGCCTCAGCAGGATGACTTGTCACCCCATCAGCTTTCTCTAAAAAACTTTCCAGCTTTCCTCACAGGCTTTGGTTTTCATTCTTTGGCTGCTGGTTCCACCTGCCAGGGGGAGGCAGCAGCTGGGTGCTTAGAAGTGTGGCCGCAGTCATACTGCCCTGGTTGAATGGGGTCTCCGTAGACACCAGCTAAATGATTCCGGGAGCTGACTTACCTTTTCTACGTCTTGGTTTCCTCCTGTGAAATGGGAGCAAGACATGTGCCCACTTCTTAGAATTGTTGGCAGCAGTGAGAGAATTGATATAAAATGTTTAGTTAGAGCTCAGTTACTGTTAGTTTTTTCTCTGTTACAACCAAAATGTGACATTCCAATCAGAAAGTGTTTAGGAAAATTCCAAAAGCCACAGAAACATGCTGTTTCTGGCCTTTGATATGTCACACTCCCGAGCCTTGTCCCAGGGTCGGTGGGAACTGTGTTGGCCCCAGAATCACTCAGTTCGAGGGATTCCTATCCCATGTATACTGCGGCGGCAGAGGTCCTGATGTCAGGATTCTGGCCTGGGCTGCTGAGCCCGGAGGAGAAGAGCATTACGAGTGTCTTTGAGCTCTGGTCTCAGTGCATAACTTAGAGAAGGTCCCTGGGTCCCAGCAGTGCTAAAAACCTATCACTTCAGTCAACTGTTTCCCCTATTATGTTTGTACAGCTGGGGTTTTTTCCATCTTAAATGTACAAAAACACACTTTTTAAAATTGATCCTCTTTTAAAAAAAAAACAGTAAAAAGGTGATTTAGAAGTCACTTGTCCCGTGCAAACACAGCCAACTTTTGGCAGTGATGGGAAGTACAAAGCAATTAATGGTCTTTGAGCAGGGGGCTGTCTGATGAGAACAGAATGGGCCATGTCAGCCCTCACTGGCCAACCCCTCAGCCTCACTCTCCTCTTCTGCTCCTGCTTCTGTCTCATAGATGGCCGGGAGTTGATGCACACATGGTTTGAATCCTGATGTCTTTACCTAATATGGGAACCGAGACACTTTTCCATAAGCTTTCTAGTTAGAGCTACACAGAGTTTCACCAAGCAGGTGTGCCTTCATTTGTTTTTTTTCCCCCTTATGCATATTCATGGGGGTCTATATTCTAAGTATAACAGCATGATGTAAACCTCTTTACGGAAAAATTTCTTCTGTATTTAAGATTATGTCCTTAGAATATTCTTCCAGAAATGGACTTACCAAGTCAACCCCCCTGTTTTTTTGTTTTGTTTTGTTTTAATCATAAAAGTAACACAGCTTATTTAGAAAATTGGGAAGGTGGAAAAAAATCTTAAGAAAATTAAGAAGCATCATTATTTCATTATTCAGAAACAAACACTTCATATTTTGTTAGATTTCTAGACCTCTGTTTTTAATAGGCCATGTGACTAATTTATGTTGGTTTAAATTCAGTTCCTGTTCCTGGAGTGGTAATAAGCATTAATTAAAAGCATTCTATCATCCAAATAATTAATGTCAAATATTAAGCAATATCCCTAGTGTTTCTGGTCTTTGCTAGAACTTAATCAGAGGTGTTGCTTAAGTTAGAATGAGTGATACATGCACATGGTCCTCTAGTGGTTGTATACCACCTAATCATAGACTATCCAGACTGTATTTTCCTGGTTTTATGAATGAAACTCAAACGTAGAGTATTACTCAATTCAGTCGCACTTGGTTCAGCCACCCAGATTCAATGGTTGCTCTTTTCACTGGTCTGTTTGTTAGAATAGCTGACTCAGTAGTTAGTAACTTACTAGTTAACTAAGCAAATCAGCTTAGTCCATGTCCTGTTCATTTAAAACAAGCCAGTACGCCTCCACAGTTAACTTCTTGGTGCATTTCATTGTTTTCTGAGTGTTCCCCAAAATACGAGCTAATGATGTACAATAATGTGTGTGCCCTTCCTTTTCCAAAATAAGGAGCTGGTTCCTTCCTCGTTGGAGGTTGAGCCATTCCCCTTGCCTGGTTTCAGTCGACCGAATGGAGGCCTGTGCTTCCCCTAGTGGCGGGAAGAGGCACTGCCACCGCTACCCCAGGCTCTGCCTCATGGGAGGGGGACTGAGACCCAGCCCCCAGACACCCCAGAGTGGGAAGCCTGGAGCTCTGGGGCCTCTAGCTTCCTCTGAGAGGAACCTGCTGCACCCCACCCCCCTGCCAGACTGGCTGGGCTCAGCAGACACAGGGCAGGACTGTTCCACACACAACAGGTTATGTGCAGAGCACACTTTTGAGCTCTTACGAGCATTTTGAGATGTGAGCAGGGTGTCATGTTGGGGGGTGTATGACGTGTGGTGAGAGAGTGCAAACTGTAGGTTCTTCCTTTGCATATAATTTAAAAGTATGCAGTTTGGGCTTCCCTGGTGGCGCAGTGGTTGAGAGTCCGCCTGCTGACGCAGGGGACACGGGTTTGTGCCCAGTCTGGGAAGATCCCACATGCCGTGGAGCGGCTGGGCCCGTGAGCCATGGCCGTTGGGCCTGCGTGTTCGGAGGCTGTGCTCCGCAACGGGAGAGGCCACAACAGTGAGAGGCCCGCGTACCGCAAAAAAAAAAAAAAAAAGTATGCAGTTTATGTCCCTTGACAGAAGCTGTCATCGAGACAGGGACAGTGGCTCCTCTGCCATGCTGGGGTCATCATTGTGTCACCCTTGCCTGATCAGCTGTTGGGGAAATGAGGGGTTTTGTAGCCATAAACTTTCTGTGTCTCTGGTTTTTGTTTTCTGTTTTGTTCATCTGTTTGGGTAGACTTTTAATTCTTACTGCACCACAGTCCTAAACAAACTAGCTCATTGGCATTGATGAGGTCAGACCTTCTGCAGGCAGAGCTTCCGTTCGTTTGTGCCCGAGAGCCACTTCCCACTGCCGGTGGGGGCACTACTGCCCGGGTGTCCGTGGACAAGGTTGGACGGGAGGCTGTGAGGGGCACCAGGCTGGCCCCCGGCCTGACAGCCTCTCTCCCTCCACAGACCGCTCCCCATCCCACCCCGCACCCCTCAGCCGCTCGGCCTCCCTGAGCTACCCGGACCGCTCAGAAACGGCGTCGAGCACGGCCCCCTTGGCAGGCAGCAGCCAGTTCGGCAGCTCCATCCTGGGCCAGTACACCTCCGACTTCAGCGTCCGGGCGCTCATGGACCTCCAGTACATTAAGGTGAGCGCTCCCCATGGCCCTCTTCCCAGGCAGAACCATCCTCCTCATCCTGGGCGTCTGGATCACTCTGCGTCTCACCGGCAGCTTCTTTCTTTGATCCACCACACCCAGCACGGAGGGCCCGGGATGTGTGTCCCTCCTGCTCTAGCTCCTCCCTCTTTGGTCACTCCCCCACCCCCACCCCGCTCCGCCCCCTGGGTCACGCCCTCTCTCCTGGACTCGCAGCCTCCCTCCTGGCTGCCCGTTTCTCCGGGTCTCCTGTAGGGTTGGCCCCCCCGGCCCTGCTGTCGGTGAACCAGGCCGTCCCGCTTCCCCCTGCAGATCACCCGGCAACAGTACCAGAATGGGCTGCTGGCCTCACGCATGGAGAACTGCCCCCAGTTCCCCCCGGATGGGTGCACCATCTGTACCGAGAACTTGACCGACAAGTCCGAGCTGCCCCTGGTGGACGAGACCACGACTCTCCTGAACGAGCGCAACTCCTTGCTGCACAGAGCCTCCCTCGAGGGTGCCATCTGACGGGAGGGCCCGGGGTCCCCCGCCAGCCCCGCGGGGGCCTCCCCAGTGGGCCCACACGAAGACAGGGAGCCTGTTAGGCCGGAAGGGGTACAGATAGCCTGTCTGACTGAGCAGCCAGATGGCCCCCGACCCGAGGGGGATCTGGCCTCCGACAGGGACCTCTGAACAGCTCCGAGCTGGCGGCTGCCCACCCTGGACTGTGGGGCAATGGGCCGGCGACCAGGAGCGCTTCTAAACTAGGCTCATCTCACCTCTTTTTAATACCATATGGGGAAGGGAAGACAGGGTTAAGGAACTTTATTTAAAAACAATTTTTTTTTTTCCACAAAAACTTTAAAAGGGGTAGGGTTTCTCACCCCGGGAAGCGATAGCCATAATCTGCTCGCAGCCGGGACTTTTTGGCTATGTCCCTGACTCAGGAAGCCTCCTCTTTCTGCTTCTCCTCCGCCTCCTCCAGAGATGGCATCCCACGGGCCTGCTGGAGGAAGGTTTTCCCTTGGGAGGGAAGAAAGTTCTTCCCAGGAAGCAAAGAACCAAATAGTGCTGAGAACAATTGCCCGGACACGCGCTGAGGCTCGCCTGGTGTCACCGAGGCCGAGGGATTCTGGGAACCGTGATCAGGGACGTGACACTCGCAACTGCGGAGAGGAGCACTCCTCCTCCTGGTAATCGCTGGACCCAGGAATCTCCTAGAACTCTGCTGATGGGCTCTCCTGGTGAGTTGGGCTCTGTTGAGGACTCTCGCCCCGTCCCTCATATCTGCCCCTCTGGACAACTCTCCCCTTGTAATGGGGCTGAGTTCAAGTGTTAGGCAGGGTCTCACACCTTTAAGATTGCTAACCCCTGCTCCCCAGGCCCTGACCTCACTTTCACCAAAGGTTTTCCCCAGGCTGGGGGAGCGACTGCGTTAGAGGGGACTTGTCTGCGATGCTCCTTTCGGGGCCAGGAGGCAACCTGGTCATGGGCATCTACGTCGTTAGCAATTCGTTCCATCCCCCTTCCCACCCCACAGCGAAAGTCAGGTCTCAGTCACTGACCCACCAAGCCCTTCTTTCCGGACTCCCGGTTTCTAATCCAAAACCCCAGTGCCTCTTAGAGACTGAGGACAAGAGGACGTTGTAGGAAGCCAACCTAAGCAGGTCCTTCATGCCCTTTCCTCTGTGGCTGAGGCTCACCTGGCTTTGTTCACGCACTTACAGATCTAACTAAAAGGCACACAGCTGGCAGCCCCGTCTTCCCCACGTGTGTGTTATCCTAGTGTGAGATGTCGTCCTGGCCTTTGCTGAAGCTCATGGTCCTGGGCGCTCAGAGCCCCAGCCCCACGCGCAGTCCTGCCCCAGCACCTTTTCCCTGTGCTGCAGGCTTCCCGCCATCGGGGAGGCTGTAGGACCAAGGTCTAAGGTGGCCCTTTGGTTGGGTGGAACAGTTGCTGGGGGGGCGGGGGGGGCCCAAGATCAGGCGAGGGAGACTCCACAGGCCTTCCTGAGTGTTATTTATTCACTCCTTTCCTCAGCCTGTGAGTCCTGTTACCCCAAGTGCTCTGTTGGGGACCAGGAAATGTCTTGCACCAAGTATACTGGCCCCTGGTCACTTTAAAGTTCTTCCAGACACAGAATTGATTCCTACAAGTCTGCAGAGAAGGTGGTGACAGCCATGGGTTCTCAAGCCATAAGGAAAAAAGACACCAGACCTGTGGCCCCCGTTGGGGCCTGAAAACCCCTCAGTTTTCTCCAGAAGCAGCTTGCTTTCCGAGTCCACACAGGGGCTCGCAGAGCTGTGTTCCTGGGACCTGAGTGCCAGGTGGAGCAGACTCACGGCCTGAACCGAGTGTGTGTGAAGCCAAAGGAGCAGGTGCACACACTTCCATGGCTACCTCTTTGCACGCACAGTTACTTTCAAGAGATGGTCCCGCCTCCCCTCCTCTTCCCGTCCCCATTTATAATCACTTTGTGCAGAGGGTCATGATTATTTCCACATATTACTGGTCCGATGACTTCCTCCTCCCAGTGCAATTTTTCACCTCCTATTCCAATCTCTCGTTCCTGGGCTGAGCAGTACCCTGACCTGGCCCAGCCCTGCGTGTCTTCCCGTGGAAGGGAGACCTTCGCAAACGGCCCCTGGATGGGTAGGCGAGTTACAGCCACCGTAGCAAATAACTCATATTTATTTTGCATAAGATTTTAATTTGTATATTTTTGTGATTTATTTTGGCATTGTTATGAGTTTGACTCTCGGGGAGTTTTGTTGTTATGACTCTTGTGTCTTTTGTCACAAAACAATGATAATATTTGCTAAACGATATATGGAATTTATTTTTGATTGGTAATAAAAAAAGAAATATGTATAAATCTTGGTGAGTTTACAGTTGGCCTGTTTGAGTCCTGTCGATACTCGGTGCCGGTCATAGAGCTAGAAGTGGCCGTGCCTGGCTCTCACCTATGACAGGGCAAGGGGCCAGCATTCTGGGACTGTGTAGCAGTAAAAAGGAAGCAGAAATGTAACTTACAAAAATATATATAATCAAGGCTGTTGTCACAGGAGCTAGAGAGTGCCAGCTGCTGCTGGACAGACAGGGCAAGTGTGCTCAACTGCCACCATTAGGGATCCAGTACAATGGACACCAGAGGCGTGGGGGCAGCTGGGATGGGCAGATTGCCCCTCCTCTCTCCCCCGGGGGCTGAAGGAGAAAGGAGCTTGATCCAAAAGTATGATCATGTGGTCTTACAGCAGCAGGTGCCTCTCAGTCCATACTCAGGGGCTGGTTGTGGTTTCACAGTTGGAGCGCTCACCGCTGGAGAGCCCGCCTGAGAGGGACCTCACTGTATCCGCCCCCGAGGCTTCAGCCAGGCGGACTCCTGCCCGCAGGTGCCTCGGCCTGTGTGTGCAGTCAAGTGCACCCAGGCCAGGGGCTCACGTAAGCCTGGCTTGACAGGGCCAACTCGGGGCGGGGAATGTTTAAAGAAAGGGAGGCACTGGGTAGGCAGAAAGGAAGGAGGACATTTCAGATAAAAGGAGTAACAAATACAAAGTCTTGTGCATAGGTGGGCAACAATAAATTTCATTCATCCATCTGTTCCACACGTTTAAGCCCTTGCTACATGCCAGGTGCCACCAACCCCTCAGGCTGTCTTCTCCGCCTGGAACTTCCTCCCAGGTCTTGGTGGGGCTCACCCCCTTGCTTCATCTAAGCCTCTGTTCAAATGCTACTTCCTTGAAGAAGCCTTCCCCCATCACCCCAGCCAAAAGAGCTTGGCCCCAGTCCCTCTGTCCGTCTCCTTGTATTGCCATGTTTTTCTCCATAGCACATATTGTCAGATATTAAAATACGGATTTGTATATTTTCTGTTGTCCTCACACTGGAACTTAACCTCCAGCAGGTCAAGGTCTTTCTTATTTCCACTGCAGTCCCAGCACTAGGACAGTACCTGGTACATTGCAGGCACTGGATGCAGGAAATACTTGTTGAATGAATGAATGGGTCTTACAAGAAGGTGAGTACTGGATGCTATTGTGGGGGGAGCACAATGCTCCCATAACCTTGACCCAATCTAGTCAAGATGGTTGAGGAAAACCAGCTGGAGGAAGTGACGTTTGCAGACTTGAGAGAGAAGAAGGAATTAGCCAGGGGTCACACACAATAGTTACGGGTTTGAAACTCAAGAATACTAGATAAAACATGGAAATGTCTTGAACCAAATGATCAGAAAGGAAAAATCGCCCGTGGGGGAACTGAATGCCCGGTGACAAGTGTCTCCACTGATGCTGTGATGATGGGCCAAAGACTGACTCAGAGCCAAGGAAGAAAGAAGCTGGCAAAGTAGTGTTGGGGCCTCTATTGTTCACAGAAAGTCACTTGTGAGCAGCTTTGTTTGCTCTGTACCGGGTCCTTTGTCTTTGGGTCTCACAGTTTAACTCACTATTTGTGTTTTCCAAGCGTGATCCAACTGTTTTTCTACTCAAAGGTTTCCCCCCTCCCAAATAAGTTACAGGTTGTTTTCCAAGGGAGCTCGAGACCAGGGGAAAAGTAACTTGTCAAAGGTCAGAGCTCTGTCTAGATATACCGACCGAGTGTTCTCCCCATCTTACCTCTGGAACTGGTCTTTGCTAGTTAACTTTTCAGGCACATGACTCATTTCAAGCCTGTTGTGCATTCTATCTCAGTGTCAGCATTTTATCTGGACTTGGAGACAGAAGTGTGAACCAAAGGGGTTGAGTCTACTATTATTATTTTTTTTTCAAAAGAGGCATGCCAGCCCAGTGGAAAGGCTCAGTAGTCATTATTGCTTCTGCTGGCGGCTTATTCTGGAACTTTTCACACAATATTTCTGCCGGTCACTCGCCACGGGCTTATTCATTCTTGCACATTACCTTCCACACAAACGTATTTTACTTAATTGCAGTCACAGTGCCTAAACTGTTGTTTAAAGTGTTTTCATGACACAGCACATGAATTTCTATAGAATCCTTGTAAAGACCATTTTAAATGACATGTACATGAACAGCCTTATGAAAGTCTATGTATGTTAGGAGATTTGAAAATACATAAAAATGTAAAGAAAATACAAAAAAACCCATTTCATCTGGACTCAAAGAGAAGTCGTGTTAGCAGGTTGTCTATTTCCTTCCAACCAGGTGAAGTTCACATACAATAGGTTGAAGAACATTCCACACTGTCAAGGACCACACAGTCTTTGGGAGGATTCTCTTGAATAGTTCTTGTTGGTCTTTAGGAATTATTTTCCCAAGGATGATCTGCTAGAAGTGGAGTGACCAGATACTGTACAGTAATTCCTGACAGAGCTGCCGTCTCCTAATGTGGCTGGGATGGCGAACAGGATATTAGGCCGGTCGCGTTGAAACCCAACATCCGTGTCTGAGTCGTGCTTCACTTTTCTCCGGTAAAATATATTCATAACATGTAGTAGCTGTGAGGATCCAATGAGGTAGTGATTTCGTGCGTGTACGTATTCACCATCGTTCTCCCTGGCAGGAATGCAAGTTCCTTTAAGGCAGGGGCTGTGTGTCACGTCCCAGACCTATAGCAGAATCGGGTGCGATCAAGAAACACTTTCAATAAACCTTGGCTTCCGATGCCCAGTCACCGGTTCTTTCAGCCCTCTTCGCCCTTTAGGTCAGTGGTTCAGGGGGTCCCTTTCTGAGAAAACGGCCCATCTCCGTTGGCTGAATTCTCTGCCTGCAATTTCAGGAGCGCCGCTCCGCTCTGCGACCCGAGTCCCGAGCCAGGGACTTCCCAAAGCACGGGCCCGGCCTCCCGGTGAGCGGCGACTGCCGGTGAGAACCAGACGCCCGCGGAGGGGGGCCAGTTCGCCGCTCCGCGCCCTCCGGACGCCAGCCAGCCCCAGCCCCAGCCCCAGCCCCGGGAGTCGCGGCCGAGCCCCGCGGGGCCGAGAGCCCCACGCCCCCGACCCGCCCCGGGATCGCGCCGCGGCTTGTTTACTCCCCGGCGCAGCCTAGTCCGACCCTGGGGCCCGCCCCCGCCCGCCGCCTATTGGCGGAAGAGGCGCCAGGGCTGGCGACGATTGGCCCGGGGGAGGCGGAGGGGTAGGCTGCGCGGGAGGCCGAGAGGGGGCAGCAGGCGATGGCGGCGGCGGCGGCGGCGGGTCGGCTAGGCTGGTTGCTCGCCGCGCTCTGCCTGGGCAACGCCGCCGGGGAGGCGGCGTCGGGCCCGCGAGTGCTGGGTGTCTGTTTGGAGGAGGACGGAGCGGCGGGCGCGGGGTGGGCGCGCGGAGGGGAGATGCGGGCCGCTCCGGAGGCCACCTTCCGCCTGCGCTTTTTCGGCTCGGGCTTCGCCAACAGCTCCTGGTCCTGGGTGGCCCCTGAGGGGGCGGGTTGCCCCGAGGGCGGGCCGGCCGCGGCGTCCGACAAGGCGGCGGCCCCCACGGGCGAGTGGCGTGCGCTGCTGCGCCTGCGCGCTGAGGCTGTGCGCCCGCACTCGGCGCTGCTGGCGGTGCGCGGGGAGCCGAGCGGCGAGGCGGCCGCCCCCACGGGCGAGTGGCGCGCGCTGCTGCGCCTGCGCGCCGAGGCCGTGCGCCCGCATTCGGCGCTGCTGGCCGTGCGTGTGGAGCCGGGCGGCGGGGCAGCCGAGGAGGCGGCGCCGCCCTGGGCTCTGGGCCTGGGGGCGGCGGGGCTGCTGGCGCTGGCGGCACTGGCGCGGGGCCTGCAGCTGAGCGCGCTGGCGCTGGCGCCAGCCGAGGTGCAGGTGCTGCGCGAGAGCGGCTCGGAGGCGGAGCGTGCGGCGGCGCGGCGCCTGGAGCCCGCGCGGCGCTGGGCCGGCTGCGCCCTGGGCGCGCTGCTGCTGCTGGCTAGCCTGGCGCAGGCGGCGCTGGTGGTGCTGCTGTACCGCGCGGCCGGCCAGCGCGCCGTGCCTGCAGTGCTCGGCAGCGCGGGGCTCGTGTTCCTGGTGGGCGAGGTGGTGCCGGCTGCCGTGAGCGGGCGCTGGACGTTGGCGCTGGCGCCGCGCGCACTGATCCTCAGCCGCCTGGCAGTGCTGCTCACCTTGCCCGTGGCGCTGCCCGTGGGCCAGCTGCTGGAGCTGGCGGCGCGGCCAGGGCGGCTGCGCGAGCGCGTGCTGGAACTGGCGCGCGGCGGCAGCGACCCCTATAGCGATCTCAGCAAGGGCGTGCTGCCCTGCCGGACCGTGGAGGACGTGCTCACGCCCCTCGAGGACTGCTTCATGCTGGACGCCAGCACCGTGCTGGACTTCGGCGTCCTGGCCAGCATCATGCAGAGCGGCCACACGCGCATCCCCGTGTACGAGGACGAGCGTTCCAACATCGTGGACATGCTCTACCTCAAGGACTTGGCCTTCGTGGACCCCGAAGACTGCACGCCGCTCAGCACAATCACCCGCTTCTACAGCCACCCACTCCACTTCGTCTTCAACGACACCAAGCTGGACGCCGTCCTGGAGGAGTTCAAACGAGGTAACGGCCGGGGAATCGCGGAGGGGACTCGCATGTCAGCGCCCCACAGAAGGAGTGGGGGTTTAGGGAAGCTTGTGGGGAAGGGTCCCACCCTCGTGGAGAGCAGGGAAGCCTCTAAGGGCCCTTTTAATGAAGAGGATGGCTTTGCAGCTCCGAATGACCCTTCGAAATATCATTTAAAGGCTGTGGCTCTGAAACTGACAGTGCTATAGACAGCAAAAGTCCCCTTCTCCTGGCAGGCCCCCAGTTTGGGGAGGTATGTCTACTTGGCTCTAACTCTCCAGCTCTTTACCAGGTCATTTCTGTGGCCTTTGGCTTTGTAGCAGGTGGATAGAAACGGAAAGAACATAGAAGAGTATAGTCTTCAGGTACCTGGACGCTGCTGTCTGC